TATCAAAACTACCAAAACTCAAGAAGAAATAGACAGGCTGAATAGCTTTATAACTATTAAAGAAACTGAATTGGTATTTAAAAACCTTTTAAAAAGAAAAAAAAGAAGCTCCAGATCCATATAGTTTCACTGGCAAGTTTTACCAAACATTTAAAACAAAATAATAGCCATTTTACACAAGCATTTCCAGAAGATAGAAGAGGAAGGAAAACTTCCCCACTCATTTTATGAAGCCAGCATTACCTGATACCAAAACCAGATAAAAACAGCACAAAAAGAAAACCAAATCAATATCCCTCATGAGCAAAGATGCAAAAATCCTCAAAAAAAAAAAAAATTAGCAAATTGAATTCAGCTACATGTAAAAAGAAAAATACTTTTGACTGAGTGTCATTTATCCCAGGAGTTCAAGGCTTGCTCAACATTTGAAATCAATTAGTGTAATCCACCATATTAATAGACTAAACAAGAAAAACTACTTGATCCTATTAATAGATGCAAGACAAAACAAAACAAGAAACCAACTGACAAAATTCAGCACCATGAACCTGACAGGTTCACCTGTATTCCTTAAGAAAAAAAAAAACACATTTTTTTCAGTTCAACCAAGATGAGAAAAATCATACTTTGAGCCCCAGAGTCTTATCCAGATAGAGGTCATTGGTTCTTTAATAGCTGTAGAAACGTCCTCCATCTGTGACCCAGAGGACCAGCTGGTGTGACTTGCTTCATAAGAGGACTCAGTGACTGGAGCCTCTGACTAGTTGAGCTTTGCCTGGCCTGATTTGGACTTCGTGAGCAAGCAGTCTTGCTTGCTCCCCATCAAAGAAACTACATTGCTGAAATGGCAGAGAGATGGTGAAGAGTGAGAATGGACAGTACCATTTGATGTGGTCTTGGTAGTCTCTCCAAGAGATGGCACTATTTATCTATGCTTTTGCATCTTAAAAAATTTTGCACTTTTACAGACAGCGAACAAATGGAATGTGTACATTAAGTTTCAGAAAGGATGTAACTGTCTTCATATCAATGTTTAATACAAAACAAAACAACTCAGTGAACTAGGAGTAACAGGGAATCTGATAAAAGGCATCTACAAGACCTAGAGCTAACATCATACTAAATGGTAAAAGACTGAATGTCTCCAACCCCCAAGATTAGGAACCACACAAAGATTATGTTTTCACTACTCCTATTTCATATTTCACTAGAAGTTCTAGCAATTGCAGTAAGGAAGAAAAAGAAATAAAAGGCATTTTGATTGGAAAGGAAGGAATAAAATTATCCCTATTTTCAGGTGACATAATTGTCTAGTAAAACTCTTAGTGCTAATAAGTGAATTTAGGAGGTTGCAGGATAAAAGGTTAACATACAAAAATAAATCATATTTCTACACTAGCAACGAACAGCTGGAAACTGACCTGCTCCCCTCCCCCACAAGTGTAATACTTAGGTACTGTCTAAACCTAACAAAACATGTGCAGGATCTATATGCTGAAAACTATAAAACACTGTTGAAAGAAATCAAAGAACATTCATACTGTGTTCATGGATTAAAAGAATCAGTATAATTAAGATGTCAATTCTCCTTAAATTGATATATGCATTTAATGCAATTGCAATAATAAAACCCAGCAGAATTTTTGTAGATATAGTTGATTCTAAAGATATAAGGAGGGGACTTCCCTCGTGGTGCAGTGGTTAAGAATCTGCCTGCCAATGCAGGGAGCACCGGCTCGATCCCTGGTCTGGGAAAATCCCACATGCTGCAGAGCAGCTAAGCCTGTGTGTCACAACTACTGAGCCATGTGCCACAACTACTGAAGCCCGAGCACCTGAAGCCCGTGCTCCACAAGAGAAGCCACTGCAATGAGAAGCCTGTACACCGCAACGCAGAATAGACCCCACTCTCTGCAACTAGAGAAAGCCACACACAGCAACGAAGACCCAACGCAACCAAAAAATAAATAAAATTTTTAAAAAATTAAAAAAAATAATGAAGTTATAAGGAAAGGTAAAAGAACCAGAATAGCAAAAACATCTTGCAAATGAATAGCAAAGTTGAAGAATTCAAACAATCTGATTTTAAGACTACTATAAAGCTACAGTAATGAAGACAGTGGGGTATTGGTGAAAGCATAGACACATAGACCAATGGAACAGAATAGAATCCAGAAATAGACCCACACAAATATGACCAATTGATATTTTTCTTAAATAATAAACATTTATTTCTGACAGTCTAGGGGCTAGAAGTCTGAGAGCAGGGTGCCATCATGGATGGATTATGGTAAGACCCTCTTCCTGGTTGCACATGACTGACAACTCACTTCTCACTGTGTTCCTTACTGGTGGAAGGGGCTAGGGAGATCTATGGGGTCTCTCTCTTTTTTTCTTCCAGTTGTACCGAGATATAATTGATATACAGCACTGTGTAAATTTAAGGTATACAGCATAATGATTTGGCTTACATACATCATGAAATGATTATCACAGTAAGTTTAGTGAACATCCATCATTTCACATAGACACAAAATTTTAAAATATAGGAAAAAGTTTTTCTGTGATGAGAGTTTAGGATTTACTTTGGTAACAACTTTCATGTATAACATACAGTGGTGTTAATTATATTTATCATGTTGTATATTATACCCTAGTACTTATTTATCTTATAATTGGAAGTTTGTACCTTCTGACCACCTTTATCAAATTCCCCTCCCCCCACTCCCACCTCCAGTAACCAGAAATCAGATCTCTTTTTCTAAGAGTTTATTTGGTTTTGAAGAATAATTGACCTATAAACACTACATTAGTTCCTGTTACACAACATAGTGATTTGGTATTTCTGTACATTTTAAAATGATCACCACAATAAGTCTAGTTATAATATGTCACCATACAGAAATATTACATAGTTATTGACTATATTCCCCACAATTTACATAGCAATCGATCTCTGTCTACCCTATCTACCTACCTATCTATCTGTCATCTATCTGTCTATCATCTATGATTGTTTTAGATGGCTGACCTCCTAAGTTCAAATGAATTTTAACAACCCTACAATTTTACTCCCCCCACCCATGTGTACTGTTTTTGACATCGTATTTTACATCTTTTTGTTTTGTGTATCCCTTAACTACTTACTGCAAATGATTTTACTACTTTGTCTTTTAACCTTCCTATGAGTTTTATACATGGCTGCTTTACTACCTTTACTAATGAGATCTTTCCTTTTGTAATTGTCATGTTTCTAGGCCTTTTCTTTTTCACTTAAGAGAAGTCCCTTTAACATTTCTTGTAAACCTGGTTTGGTGGTGCTGAACTCTTTTAGTTTTTGCATGTGTGTAAAGCTTTTGATCTCTCCATCAAATGTGAATGAAAGCCTACTGGTCAGAGTATTCTTGGTTGTAGGCTTTTCCTTTCCATCAGTTTAAATGTATTGTGCCACTCCCTTCTGGCCTGCAGAGTTTCTGCTGAAAAGTCAACTGGTATCCTTATGGGAATTTCCTTGTGTATAACTTGTTACCTTTCCCATGCTGCTTTTATTCTCTCTGTATTTAGTTTTTGCCATTTTAATTACAGTGTGTCTTAGTGTGGTCCTGTTTGGGTTGATCCTCTTTGAGACTCTCTGTGCTTCCTGGACCTGGATGTCTGTTTCTTTTCTCAGATTAGGGGAGTTTTCAGCTATTATGTCTTCAAATATGTTCTCTGCCCCTTTCTCTCATCTTCTGGGATGCTTATAATGCAAATGTTAGTACTCTTGATGTTGTCCCAGAGGTTTCTTAAACTGTCCTCACCTCTTTTTTTTTGCGGTACACGGGCCTCTCACTGTTGTGGCCCTCCCGTTGCGGAGCACAGGCTCCGGACGCGCAGGCTCAGCGGCCATGGCTCACGGGCCCAGCCGCTCCGCGGCATGTGGGATCTTCCCGGACCGGTGCACGAACCCTTGTCCCCTGCATCGGCAGGCGGACTCTCAACCACTGCGCCACCAGGGAAGCCCGAGACTACAGTCTTATGTTACAGAAATAGATCACCAACTTGCTTCTCTAAATTTAATGTATTTAATATAAAAACATGCATACAAAAGAATATGTATAGGGCTTCCCTAAACTTTGTCACCTCTTCCCGTACATTTTGATAGTAGCTTTTTAAAAAAAATATTTATGTATTTGTTTACTTGGTTGCACCAGGTCTTAGTTGTAGCAGGCAGGCTCCTTAGTTGTGGCATGTGAGCCCCTAGCCGCAGCATGCATGTGGGATCTAGTTCCCTGCCCAGGGATCTAACCCGGGCCCCCTGCATTGGGAGTGTGGAGTCCCAACAACTGCGCCACCAGGAAAGTCCCTTGATAGTATTTTTATTACAAATGTATGTATCTATAAACATTATTATGTTTAGTTTGCCTAGTTTTGAGCTTTATAAAAATAGTATTATATCATATATAGTTTTCTGTGTCTAGATTTTTCACAAAATATTTTGTTTCTATGATTTATCTATCTTTTCATATAGCTGTATTTCATAAGTTTATACTACTGTATAATATTTCATTGTTTGAATAAAGCATAATTTATCCATTGTCCCATGAATGGACATTTAGGATATCTGATTTTTTTTTTATTACAAACAATTATACTATGAATATGTTATACATTTTTCCTGGTGCTCATGTGTAAATTTCTTTAGATTGCATATCTAAGAATGAAATTGCTAAATTGTAAGGTACGCACAATGTGATACACACAGTGTTGTTTGTGTTAAACACAATGTGTGTTCAAACTGCTGAGATTCTAGGGTTGTTGTTATTATACTTTAATATAACGTATCCTTGTCTAACACATTTAATTTGGTTGTTCAAATCATTTATTGTCTTACTGATATTTCATCTGCTTTTTCTTTTTTTTTTTTTTTTTTTGCAGTACGCGGGCCTCTCACTGTTGTGGCCTCACCCGTTGCGGAGCACAGGCTTCGGACGCGCAGGCTCAGCGGCCATGGCTCACGGGCCCAGCCGCTCCATGGCATGTGGAATCCTCCTGGACCAGGGCACGAACCCTGCGTTGGCAAGCAGACTCTCAACCACTGCGCCACCAGGGAAGCTCCTCATCTGCTTTTTCTACCAATTACAAAAGGTGTTTTAAAATCTTTCATTATGATTGTGGATTTGTCTATTTCTTGTACTTTTTTGCAATGTTTGCTTCTTATATTTTGAAGCTGTGTTATTAGGTATATTTAAATTTTGTATTATTAACTCTTCTGGTGAATTTTACCTTTTATTATTATGGATTTACTTTCTTTATCTCAAGTAATATTTGTTACCTTAAAGTCAGTTTTAACTGCTAATAATATAGCTACACCAGCTTTTGGGGGGGAATTAGGGGTTCATGTTTGTTTGGTATGTTTTTTTCCATTCTTTTACTTTCAAATTTTCTGTATTTTTAATTTTAGATGTCTCTTTTAAACAGCATATAGTTGGGTTTTATTTTCTCATCCAGTCTGACACTTCATTTTTAAAAAATCTGGCCATTAAGAATTAATATAATTACTGGTATATTTTTGTTACACCTACCATTATACTATGTACTTTCTATTTCTCCCACTTACTCTGTATTTTTTTCCTTTTTGCCTTCTTTTAAATATATTTTATATTTCATTTTTTCCTTTAATTTGGGTTTCTTTTAATATTGGTTATCCTATAAATGATAACATACATCCTTGATTTATCAAAGACTCATGTTAGTTGGCACTTTTAACTTCTACTTAGATGAGGGAAGGATCTTAGAACACTTTGACTCCTTTACCCTCCTCCTGACTTTCACACCATTGTATCATATATTTTAATTCTACATAACTTTCAAATTCCAGAAAACAGTATCCCCCTAAGTCAGAAGCTAATTCATTAGAGTAAATATTTTTATTTTAAAAATGAAAGAAATGAACTTTCAAGTCAAGAAATTAGAAAAAGAACAACTAAAACACAACTGAAAGGAATATAGGAGAAAAAAATAGTAAAGATAAAACCTTTAGCGACTTTTAAGAGACAGGAAAAATAGACTGTAGGTTAATCCAAGAGCTGAAATTTTGAAAAATGCCAATAAAATGGTCAAACCTTGACAAACCTACTAAAAAAAAAGAAAATACAAACAAAAGTAAAACAGGGGTATATAGATCAATAGATACATAGCTCTAAACACTTAAAGAGAATAATATGAACAACACTATGCTAAGGTGTGAGTATTGATCTGTCCACAACACAGTTACACAGGAAATGTAAGTTTATTTTTCTATAATTCATCTCATTTTCTTCTTGAAGCCCTAGCTTATTGGAGAGGATGAAAACCTGATCTCAGCCACTTTGGAATTTCTTCCTTTGAGTCAAGGAAGGGGACAGGCAGAGGGGTGAGGAGGTGGGAGGTGGTCTTTGTGTTTCCAAGGAATGGGTGAGGGGAAGATACTCACCTGGTCCTCAATGTTATCTGTTCACACAGGTATCTTCTGAGATGTCCATCATTCAGTGTGGTCCTCAGTCATTGATCCATACTATCTGCGACTGAGATGTCTTCATTCCTGTCTGCCTAGTCCTTTCAGGTATGGTGGCTCTCTCCCTGTTGCATCCACGTCACATGTAGGAGCATGGGCATAATTCTGCTCCTCACTGCCTTGCAGGGGTACTAAATGCAAGCCTCTTTAAAGCCTGGTCAGCATAATCTCCCCTCCCAGTCATTTCTTCTCTGATATCGTGTGACTACTGCAAGGCTCAGAGCACAGCTTCTCTTTTCCCCTGCCTTAGGTTACTCATATTTGTGTGTATTTTTACTACTTCCCTGGTACTCTGTGAATCAGGATACAGGGCCTGTCTTTTGGGGATTTATCAATGTCTGTATTCTTATTACTTCCCCACAATATCCTCTTCTTCCTTAGTCTGGGGGAATTTCTTTCTAGTCTTGGTGTAGCTCAGGGTGGGGTTCTAGGGAGGTGAGATTGAGTCTAGTTCTTTCCAGTTATATTTCTCCCAAATATTTTATCTATATATGGAACCTTCTCTATTTCCGTAATGGCTTACATTTTTAGAAATCAAGTTCAAGAAGACTTCTTTTTTTCTGTTTACTACCCTAGTTTATCCCTTCCCTAAAACAACAAGCTCGCAACTGCCTAGCTGCTTAAAAGGAATATGGGAGGAGGGATAAGGAAAAAAATGAACTAACAGGTGAAAAAAACTTAATATTTCAAAAATGCCCTGTCACATAAAAACTTGTTGAGATGACAAATTTGTGGAATACTACTTGCTAATATCAAACACTTACTATGTACCATTGTTTTAAGAACTTTACATCTGTCAATCTAATCATCACAATAATAATTAAATAGGTATCATTACTATTCTGATTTTACAGATAAAGAAACTGAGATACAGAGATGTCAAGTAACTTAATTAAGTTTTGTTCAGTAGTGTCAGAGCTTGTACTCAAACCCAAGAAGTCTGGCTCTGTAGTGCACTTTCTAAACTACTATGTCTTTGGTTCTCAAATGACTCCCCAAGGAACATATGGAAATGCATAGGGGGTGTGATTTAGTGTTTATAAAGACTGAGGAAAGTTACTGGCATTTAGTGAATAAAGACCCAAAATGTTAAATGTCCTGTAGTGTGAGGATGGTCCTGAACAATAAAGAATTGACCCATCCAAAAGGTAGATAGAACTTATATTGAGAAACACTACACTGTACTGTACTACCTCTAAATTGCCAAGATTGACTCAAGAAGTTAAGAAAAAACTCATATAGATGACTATTCATGATAGAAGTTATAAATGTTATTAAAAAGTTGATAGGCAGATTTTCTACTTAGTTTTTCTTTAAGGTTTTCAGGGAATAAGTGAGTTTCATAATATATATAATAATCTCTTCTAGAATATGAAAGGATATAGAATGCCTCTTTTTTTTAAATTTTTTATTTCTTTTAACATCTTTTTTGGAGCATAATTGCTTTACAATGTTATGTTAGTTTCTGCTGTATAACAAAGTGAATCAGCTATACGTATACATATATCCCCATATCCCCTTCCTCTTGCATCTCCCTCCCACCCTCCTTTATCCCATCCCTCTAGGTGGTCACAAAGCACCAAGCTGATCTCCTTGTGCTATGTGGCTGCTTCCCACTAGCTCTTTACATTTGGTAGTGTATATATGTCAATGTCACTTTCTCACTTCATCCCAGGTTACCCTTCCCCCTCCCTGTGTCCTCAAGTCTATTCTCTGCGTTTGCATCTTTATTCCTGTCCTGCCCCTAAGTTCTTCAGAACCATTTTTTTTTTTAGATTCCATATATATGTGTTAGCATACAGTATTTGTTTTTCTCTTTCTGAATTACTTCACTCCGTATGACAGACTCTAGGTCCATCCACTTCACTACAAATAACTCAATTTCATTTCTTTTTATGGCTGAGTAATATTCCATTGTATATATGTGCCACATCTTTATCCATTCATCTGTCGATGGACACTTAGGTTGCTTCCATGTCCTGGCTATTGTAAATAGTGCTACAATATAATGCCTTTTAATTGATTTTATGAAGCTTATAAAACACAAATTAGATTTTTAGAAATATTGCTAGAGACAAAGGGGGACATTTCATTATGATAAAAGCATCAATATATATCTGGAAGATACAACAATTATAAATGTATTCACACTGAAGTGGGTTGAATAGTATCCTCCCCAAAATTCAGGTCCACCCAGAACCTCAGAATGTGACCTTACTTGGAAACAGAGTCTTTGCAGATGTAATTATTTAAGATCATACTGGAATGGGTTAGGGGGAGGGACCTAAATCCAATGACTGGTGGTGTTATAAGAAGAGGAGAAGGAATACATAAATGAATAAGGAAGAAGACCATGTGACTGCCAAGGCAGCAATAGGAGTTATGCTGTGCCCAAGCTAAGGAACATGTGGGGGCACGAGAGGCTTGAAGAGGCAAGGTAAGGTTCATCCCTAGAGTCTGCAGAGGGAATATTGGCTCTGCCAAGTCTGATTTTGGACTTCTAGCTTCCAGAACTGTGAGAGAATAAATTTCTGTTGTTTTAAGCCACTTAGTTTTTGATAATTTGTTATGACAGCCCAGGAAACTAATACACCTAATAACAAGCCCCAAGATACATGAAACAACAACTTACAGAATTGAAAGGAGAAATAGACGGTTCAAATTGTTGGGAAATATCAGTATCCTACTTTTAATAATTGATGGAAAAAGACAGAAAATCAGTAAGGATATAGAAGGCTTGAACAACACTATCAACCAGCTTGACATAAAAATATATCTATATAACACTTCACCCACAGCAACAGAATACAAGCTCATAAATTATTCTCCATAAATGTAAAAGGATTGAAACCACTCAAAGTATGTTTCTCTGATCACAATAGAATTAAATTAGAAAAATCAACAATAGAAAGAAATTTAGGGGATCTCCAAATATTTGGAAATTTTAAAACACACTATAAAATAACCCATGGGTCAAAAATGAAATCACAAGGGAAATTAGAAATTATTTTAAGCTTAAAAGAATATCAAAATTTATGGACTGCAGCTAAAGCAATGCTAAGAGGGAAACTGATAGCTTTAAATGCCTATATTAGAAAAGCAACAGGTGTCAAGTCAACAATCTAAGCTTTTAACTAAGGAAACTAAAACAAAAAGAGCAAATAACCCTAGGCAAGCAGAAAGAAGAAAATGATAAAGATCAAAGCCAAACATTAATGAAATAAAAACCAAAAAAAAGTATAGAAAATCAGTGAAACCAAAGGTCATTTATTTGAAACAACAAACTGATTTTTGAGCAGCAAAATGCATAAACCTTTAGCTCTTCTGATCAAGAAAGAAAGGAGAGAAAAAACACAAAATAAGGAATGAAAGATAGGGCATGATTACTGACCATATAGAAACTAAAAGTATTATGAGAATATTATGAATGACTTTGTGCCAACAAATTAGACAGTTTAAATGGAGAAATTTTTATCAAGATGCAGATAACTAAGTCAAAAGAAAATAGAAAATCTGACTAGAACAATAGCAAGTATAGAAAATGAATTGGTAATTAAAAATCTTCTCACAAGGAAAAGTGCAGGCCCAGATGGCTTCCCTGGTGAATTCTACCTAACATTTAATGAAGAAAGATTACCAGTCCTACGAAAACGTTTTCAGAAAATAAAAGAGAAACAGTTCCCAATGCACTTATGAGACCACTATCACCCAGGTATCAAAATCAGTCAAACACATCACAAGAAAATTGCAGAGCAATTATTCCTCATGAATGTATACACAAAATTTCTTAATGAAATACTAGGAAACTGAATCCAACAGTATTTAAAAAGGATTATACACTGTGTTCCAGGAATGTAGGTTTAGTACCCTCAAATCAATTAATGCAATATACCATATTAAATAAACAACAAAAACCAGATTATCATGCCAGTAGACACAGAAAAAGAATTTGATGAAATCCAACACCTATTAATGATAAACCCTTTCAACACACTAGGGATAGAAGGGAACTGCCTCAACCTGATAAAAGGTATCTACATGCTTAATCATACTTTTTGAGGAAAGACAATGTTTCCCCCGCAAAAATGCTTTCTCCCCTGAGGTTGAGAAAAAAGCAAAGATGTCTCACATTTCAATATGTGCTTGTGGTTCTAGCTAGTGCAGTGAAGCAAGAAAATTAAGTCATGCATATTGGAAAGAAAGACCTAAAACTTTATTTGTGTACATGTTCCTGAATATAGACAATCCTAAGTAATCTAAAGAAATAAGTAAACTACTGGAATAAACAAGTTTAGCAAGATCAATATAAAAAAATCAATTGTATTTCTATATGTTAGCAATGAATTGTACAACAATAAAATTAAAAAAACAATTCCATTCCCATTAGCATCAGAAAGAATAAAATATATAGGAATAAACTTAACAAAAGAAGTACAAGACATGCATTTCTGAAAGAAATGAAAGAAGATCTAAATAAATTGAGATATTCTATGTTCATAGATTAGAAGACTCAATATTGTTAAAATGGCCATTCTTCCCAATTTGATCTATAGATTCAATGCAATCCCTACTAAGGTTCCAGCAAGATTTTTTGTATAAATTGACAAGCTGATCCTAAAATTTGTATGGAATTTCAAAGGACCTAGAATAGTTAATATGACCTTGAAAAAGAACAAAGATTGAGGACTATTTGATTTTAAAACTTATGAAGCAACAGTAATCAAGATAGTGTGGTACTGGCATAAGGATAGACATATAGATCAATGAAACAGAATTGAGTCCAAGAATAAACCCTTACATTTATGGTCAGTTGATTTTTGACAAGCATGCCAAGGTAATTCAATGGGAGAAATGACATGTTTTCAACAGATGGTTCTGGGACAATATCCATGTGCAAACAACAAAACAAAACAAAGCTTAAATCCTTACCTCATGCCATATGCAAAATTTAACTGAAAATGGATTATAAGTTTAAATATAAGACCTAAAACTGTAAAACTTCTAGAAGATGACAAGGAAAAAACTTTCGTGACTGAATTGGATAAATA